GAAGTGGTCAGAAACTCCTACTCGGCGGGAGGGGTGGGGCAGATAGGGCGGAGTGGTGGGGGGCGGCCCAAGGGGGTGGGAGAGGGTCTGGCCCACGCTGCGCCTGGGCTGGGACTGGTCCCGCCGGCGCAGGTAGCAGGAAGCTCTCCACACACTCACCGGACCTGGGCTAGGACTCCAGGACACATTTTATAATATTATTTTATAATGAATCACCTAAAGAATTATATACAACAAGTGCAGGAAAACTATCCATACACCAAACACTAAAGAATCCAGCTGATGGCCTGGATCATAATATCCTGCATGAGTCCAGATGAAAACCTAGAGCTGATAACAATGCCTTCCAAAAGTCCAACTAGAGGCCTAGAACCTACAACAAAATCTCATACAGGCCTGCTTCAGGGATCTGTACTAGAAAGGCCCAAAGGTCAGTGGTGGAAGCTAGAAAGTCTATGCCAGTGGAATGGAGGATCTATTCTAGAAGTCTGAGTGATCTGAATTAGAGCTAAGAAGCAATGCTCTAGGTAAGCACCAGAGCTCCCCCAAAAGTACCACAGCCATCCTCAGCAACAGTGAGGTCCCATGATCCTCCAGAGATGAGGAAATCCAGTTCCCATCAGGAAAGCCAATGCAACCAGCTTCTTCATGAGGCTGAGCAGTGTACCATCTTACCCTCCAGAGCAAGGAAGTGATGCTCACGATGAGGACCAAAGCTCCTTCAAAGTTCATTCAGAAGGCCAGTGTGACAAGGTCCTCTAGCAGAACAGCCCAAGAGTACTAGCAGCTCCCAACAGCTTCTCCAAACAGCATCACTAACAGTGTGTTGGCAGCCTCTCCTTTTCTGCCTTCATGCTCCTGGCAACAACTCTCAGGTGGGCCTCCTGCACCCAGCACCATGGTAGTTTAATTCATCTGAGTGTAATAAATTGACCACCAGTTAGAAATCCACTACACAGAGTAACAGATATCACCTGGGACCTAGTGTGAAATTCAGACACTCAGACCCCACTCTAGATTTACTGAATCAGAATCTTCACCTAACCAAAAACCAGGTGATCTTCAGGTACATTTAGGTTTTAAGAAGCACTGTCCTTGAGGTACAGAAATAGGGTCAGTAAGAGTTCAGAGATATGCAGTATATTAGAGTTGTCTAGGAGAGGTTAAGGCTGCATTGGGGTAGGGGTTGTGGCAGGGGCATGCAGCTGGACTCCAGAGGTGGTATCCTCTGACATGTGGGATGCAGAGCTGTAGGAAGTGTCTTTGGGAGGGTGGTTATTTTTTGCTTCCACACCCTGCCCTTGGATGCCTTGGGCATGAGTTTGTTACCTTAAGTTACCAGTGTCACTATACCAGCCAGGAATGACAGGTAGGCAGGGAAAGGCCAAGCCTGGGGAGGTCCCAGGACCATCTAGCTCAGAAGTTGAGTATTGTTTCCCTTGAGAGATGCATGACTGGACCTGGCTGGCTTCACACTGAAAAGCATGCCTTGAGCTTGTACTAGGCTAGAATCTCTCCTCAGCCTAGTATTCTAACCCCATGAGGCTCACATATGCACTACTTTTTGTCCAGATTCCCAGGTGGGGAGTTGCATGGTTTGAGTAAGTACCCTCAAAGGTCCCAGTGTTAAAGTTTCACTCCCCAGGTTGGTGCTATTGGGAGGTAAGTGGAACCTTTAAGAGATGGCACCCTGTGGGATGTCCTTAGGTCACTGGGAGCCTGCCTGTGATGGTGACTGTGGGATCCCATTCCCTTCCTTTTTGCTTTTTTATTTCTTCCCCTGATCTTAACAGTTTGTTTCTCTGTGCACTCCCTACCAAAGTCATCTAGTTAATTTTCTCAGGTATCTTGTTATAGTGATGGAAAGCTGACTACAAAGAGGTCTGCAAGCCATTGTAGAGTTAGTCTCTCCTTTTCTCTGACCTTCTTCATCACCAATTGGACCTAAGCCTCCATGGGGCCTTCAGCCTAGACTGTCCTGCTGTACAAAGCAGGATAGTGAGAGGGACCACAGGCCCTGGGTATGGCTGGAGACACAAGATTTGTTTCAGCACAGCCACCCACTGCACTTACAGTGCTCTGAATTGCTGTCTTAACCAAAACTCTTCCCAGATGTCTCAGTAACTTTTCTTTCCTTGCTGGGACAAAACACCTGACACCCAAAATGAAGGAAGGAAACATTTATTTAGCTCACAGTTAGTGGAGGTTTCAGTCCATATTCAGCTGGCTCCAAAGCAGTGACACATGACACACAGCAGCCATTCATAACAGTGGAAAACAGCAAAGATCAAGGGGAGGAGCAGCAGCTAGCAAGGCTCTTTTCCTTATATTGTATTCATGCTCTCTGCATCCATACCCATAATCACAGCATTGGATCACAAGTTAATCACAGACTCTAGAAGCCTGCCTCAATGCATGAGGCTTGGGGGGGGGAACAACTAGACACAAACCATAACATCATTCAACTACCTAGACTAGTGCCTATTTTCCCTTCTTTATGGGATGATTGTGCAGCTCAGTGGAAAAGGAATTCCCCAGATGTGAGGTGGGATAAATGCTCTTTTGCAGGGGAGAAGTTGTACCAGCAGCAACTAAAAGTTATATCATCATTTTCTGAATAGCTTTTTCTTCCCAAAATCCCTGATGAGGGTGTTGGTCTAACTCACTAAGCAATATGGCACACAGATGCAAAAGAATGATAAAGAGAAAAAGTTCTGCAGTTGAGGAGCTCTGGGATGACCCAGTGTTCTGTCTAGAACAAAAGGCCTCATCTCCAAAAGCTCATGGCTTTTATAGGTATCAATCAGGGAGGTGGGTGGGAATCCCATCAGAGTGCATAGGGAAAAGCAACTTTGTAGTCATACCAGGCGAGAAGGCCTCCAATTAGCAATACACAGAGTTTTTTTTTTAAGATAATTTTTTAAAATATTAGAAATGATACAGAATCTTACTAAGCAAAATGATAGGAATTCCACAATGGTTTTTATATTACGTATTGTTGTCTTCAAATTAAGTGTTCAAATTACCAGATATAAGCATGCAAAATTGGTCAAAAATTGTAAAAACTTTAAAAAGAGAGAAAAAAATTTAAACATTAACTGCTTCTTTCAATTGACCAGTAGAAATCAGCAATACAATTATCCAAGCTATCTTATGTATATGCAGTGTGTGTGTGTGTGTGTGTGTGTGTGTGTGTGTGTTACCAGGAATCGAACTTGGGACCTTGCACTTGCCCAGGCAGGCACTTATGCCACTTTGCTATCTCCCCAGCACATAAATATTTCTTTTTCCCTTTCCTCTTTCTTTTCTCCTTTCCTTTGTCCCAATTGTTTCTTCCCTTTGAACATATTCTTTCCCTTTAACAGTATCTATTTACCTTTAAGATTTTATTTACTTTTTCAGTTTCTTACACTAGGGAGACAATACAATGTTTACATGTGCAGGTCTGATTTATTTCACTTATGAGTATGGTCTCTAGTTGCATCCATTTACCTATAAAAGCCTCAAGTTTATCATTTTATAGCTGAGTAATGCTCCATTATAAAAAAAACCACATCTTTTTTATCCATTCCTCAGTTGATGGGCATTTGGGTTGTTTCCAAGATATAGCTATGGCAAATTGTGCTGCTATAAACATGGATGCACATATATAGCTGTGGTATGATGTTGTCAGTTGTTCTGCAAAAATTCCCAGGAGAGGAATAGCTGGGTTGAATGGGACCTCCAATCGTAGTTTTTAGAGGAATCCACATTGATTTCCATAGTGGTTGTACCAGTCTACACTTCCACCAACAGTGGAGAAATGTTCCTTTTCCCCCATAGTTCCTTCAGCATTTGTTATGACTTCTTGAGGATAGCCATTTGGGGGGGGGGGTGAGATGGAATGAATCTCAGTGGGTTGTTTGTTTGTTTGTTTGTTTGTTTGTTTGGTATGTGTATGGGTAATGGGAATCTAACTCAGGACTTTGTGCTTGCCAGGCAGGCACTTATGCCACTGAAGTATACCCCCCGCCCTGAGTGCTATTTTAATTTGAATTTCTTAAACAACCACAGATAGTTTTGATGTATGCAAGGCTGGAACCTTTACTGCCAGGAACATTTGTTTCAATATTGCCAGCTTTACCTATCTCAGTAAATAGAATGAGGGAGAGGTAAGGAACAGGTTGTGGCAAGAGCTTTGTTTTTCAGAAGAGAGTATCGTGGTGGTCTTCCACAATTTCTGAAAACTAAATACTAGGTAAAAGATCAGGAGCTGCCACCCCTGTTTGGATGACTCCAGAATTGTTTTGTTAGTTCTTTTAGCCCTAGTCTGAAAGCCCTAGTCTGACACCTCTATGTTTTCTTCCTGGCTCTGAAATTTCAGTCATGATTCCTACAAGTGATTTCTTGGCACAGATGAGGACTGGCTGAAACCTGGGGTCCACCTCCTAGGAAG